TGTCTCTCTAGCAGAGATACCCAACAGAGACCAGTGAATGTCTCTGGTTGTTATGAACGTATGTGTTAGACCTGGGTGTTTTCTTTTGGAAGCATTCTATTCCATGTGTGTTATGCATTATTCAGTAGGTTATATAATTGCTAAGTCTCTTTGAACCTTTATTTTTCATATATAATTTCTAGGAAGTAGAACTTTTAATATTGTAAACACACCGATGAATGTGTTCATGAAAATGAACAATTGAAAAAAAATACAATCACACATAATCCCCAGCCTGTATAAAATGATTGCGATAATTTTACATAGTGTCCGGTTTATGAATCCTAGCTGTTTCATTTAGAGTTCCATTGATAAAATGTATTTTTCTGTCATGTAGACGCTGTAGCCATCATTCTTAAAGATCACATGAATGCTTCACGGAGTAACTTCCCATCCTTTAATGGTAACTCTTTAATGTACCAGTGAGACACCCAGGCCACCAAACACATATTCAGTATATGCAGGTTCCTAAATCCAATCTCTATACCTCCAGGTTCCCAGGCACTGTACCCATAGTTCTTAAAAATGAAATCCTGTAGAAATCGTAAATCTTCTTCTTGTTTGGGGGCTGTAACCTTCAAAGTGCAGCGTCTCTTTCAAGCCCACTGTTTGGAGGTCAACCCCACAATGCTCAAGGACCATGCAGCACTGAGGATCAAACTCGGGGACCTACCCCATGCAAAGCGGCATTTAAGCCCTTTGAGTCATTTCTCCTACCAGAAATAGTAACGTTCCAAAGATCTCAAAATTTAGACCTTCTAGTGCTGAGTGTTTCTACTATGCCTCTCAGGCATTCAGGAGGTATTACAGTAGAGTGAGGATGGAGTATGTATACAAAAGCATTCAGTTATATTTTCTAGCATTCGTGGAGGTGACTTTTTAAATAATGTCTTATTATATGTGGAAAACAAACGGCATAATTGCATGTCTCCATCAGTGTCACTGTCCCCCCGTTGTTCATCGATTTTCTCGAGCGGGCCCAGTAACGTCTCCATTGGAGATTTTGTTGTTACTGTGTCTGGCATATCGAATAATCACGGGGAGCTTGCCAGGCTCTGCTGTGCGGGCGAGATACTCTCGGTAGCTTGCTGGGCTCTCCAAAAGGGGTGGAGGAATCGAACTCGGGTTGGCCACAAGCCTTGAACTTGGCTGCGTGCAAGGCGAATGCCCTACCCGCGTGTGGAAGTCAAATGGTTTGACTCAGATGAGATTGCTTTGCCTTGCCACTCTCCTCAGCATCAGGTTGCTGGACTAGGCTGGTGCTTCTTTGGTATTTGGTGCTCTTGTTGTCTCACACGTTGTCTCGAGTGTGCACCAGGGTTTACAACCGTGGCATTATTCTCATCTGAATGATTAAGTCTGAGTGACATAAGGCAGAGTTGCTGGCACAGATACAAATGTAGGTAGGCTTCCCAAAGTAGCTCCTAACTTGCTCAAGAATCAAGCCCTGGGGTAGGGTGACAGTGCAGCTGGGATGCCGTCTACCTTGCAAATGACTGAGCTGGTTTGATCCCCACCACCCCATATGGTCCCCGAGACCCTCCAGGAGTGATCCCTGATCACAGAACCACGAGTCAACCTGAACACCACCAGGTGTGCACCGCACTGCTCCCCCCTCACCGCCCCCCCCACATGAACCGAGTTTTGTCTGAGTAAGCAAAGATTAAAATCTGCTTGATATTTACAAATTTAAGTGCTGTTAGCTGTTAATGAATCTATCCCCAGTATTGCTCTGTACTAGAAATAAGAATAAGCATTTGGAGAGCTTAGAAGGAGAGATGGAAAAAGTCATGAATTCATATTCTCTCGTTTTTCCTTTCCTTTCTATTTTTCCATTTGCTAATATTAGAAAATCACATTACCTGTTCATATCTTATCTATAACAAGGTATAGGAGTTGACAATTTTAAGTCTAGTACTGATTTTCTAGGGCTTCTCTATCAAAGGACTGCATACTGAGAAGACTATTCTGAGATACAAAAGAAGTGGTTTATCTTAGGGCTAGCAGTTAGAATTCGGAGACATTCTAAGACATTCTGAGTGTTGTCATGACTGGTCCTTTGTGGGTCTCCCACTCCCTCTTAATTCCTTTAACTCCAGTCAAACTTCTCCCTTAGAAGTTATATTAGGGGCCTACCTTTAAAAAAAAAAAACTTAGTTGTGTTTGCAGTGACTCTACTTCCAGGTAGTATCACAGTCTGAGGCACGAAAAGGGTGAAGTCAGTATTCCGACATGAATTTTGAGGGGACGTGTTCAATTCTTAAGAGTTTGTTAGACAGTGTTAGAAAGAGAATCCTTTATCACTGAAGTACCACAAGCAAAATACTATTGCATCTCTTTCTGCTTCTCTTCCTTTACATGGACACTTTTCTACCTACTGAAAGCTGATACAGTTCTCTTTGTACTAGACAACATCCCAATACACCTGCAGATGGCTCCTTTTGAGGGATTCTTTCCACCACCTGAATTGTTAATCCCTTTTCTCCGTGATTCTTATCAGTCTCTAAATTGGCCCTCTCTCTTTTTTTCTTTTTTAATCTAACACAGACACAGTGCACCTATATTGATAAATTCTTGCAAGGAGCTTGCATTTGAACATTATGTGGCGGGTAATTCCTGTTTCTCCTGTGTATTCAGTTTAATTCTGATGACCTGTAGTCTGAATTCTGCCTCCAACATGCCACTTGAAATAGCTTTGTTCACTTCCAAAAAAGTATTTTAGTCTTAGGCTAAGCACTCAGTTTGCTTCATCTCTGTGACATCTGATGTCGACAGCTCCATTCTCCTTCATTAGAACAAGCCTTCATTCTCCACCTGTTCTGTTCTCAGCGACTTTTTTTTTGTTTCTCAGCACTGATTTTTGTACCTCATCTATATTTTATGTAACTGATTCCTATTCTCTATTTCCTGACCAGATCTTTCATCTCTGAGCCTATGACTACATAATGAACGTTTATTACTTTTCTTTAGCTAGATTTTGCGGGGCCACAGCCTGAGAATCATTATCTCCTAACACCATCGGTGGGTGATCCAAAACTAGCACCCAGCACGAGGAAGTCAGAGAGGGACCCACAAAAAAGGGCGTGTCTGCTTCCATCATTTTCTCATCTTATGGCCTTTCCGTTTTCATGAGTGAGAAATGTGCTTGTAAGTCAGGATGCAGCCCTGAATATGGGAGACCAGAATCTACCGGAGAAAGTCAATCATGATTTATTACCAAATTCACCATGTTTTTCCCAGCTAGAAGGCAGGAATTATATCCATCATAATTATGCCTGGGGAATCTTCTGACTCAGATTTCTAAAATCTAGTTTTAAATTATTTTAAAATGCGTAGTATAAGGTTTATGTGTCATCCCCCACCCCCACAAACACTGTTTCCAATATTTAAAAATTGGTGGTTCAATAACAAAAGGGAATGCCCTGGAGATGGGGGGTGGGAGGGATACCAGGATCAGTGGTGGTGGAGAATGGGCACTTTTGGTGGGATGGGTGTCCGATCATTGTATAACTGAAACCCAAGCACAAAAATTTGTAAGTCTACAACTGTAACTCATGGTGTTTCGCTAATAAAAATTTAAGGAAATAAATAAATAAATAAATAAATAAAAACTGGTGGTTCAGTTTGAGGTCCTGAGAATGTGGTGGTGCTGGGTGCTGGGGTGTACCTGGGCCAGCGAGTTTCAGCCTAGAATCACTGAGCACAGCCCCAAGCACTGAGCCAGAGCAGCCCTTGAGCAATTCTGGGTATGCCTCGCTGCTAGAGAGAGGAAGTGATTCCATATTAAATGAGTAGGGGTACCATAAATACCTGTTTACAAATTTATCGGCAGCAAATAAAGCAAATGCTAAAGATAGAAAAAATCAGTTTAAAATATCTTGCAGAACATCAGAAAAGAAAGATGAGGGAAAGAGGTTCTGGGCTATGTGTCAGTCCAAAGAGCTTACTCTTGGCTCAGTGCTCAGGGTTCACTTCTGGTTGAGATCAGGTTGACCATATGACCATATGTGATGCCAGGGATTACCAGGTCAGCTCCTTGTAAGAAGAGCACCCTCACAACTGACTCTCTCTCTCTCTCTCTCTCTCTCTCTCTCTCTCTCTCTCTTTGTTGTGCAAGTGAGTATTGAGTTAGTGAGGAAATGAGTGAATCTTAACAAATACTAAAAATGTATTTAAAGATTTGTTTCCAAATTTGGCCCCAACTGCATAAGAACTGTGAGTATAGGGTGTTTTCCTGGTGACTATTTTCGGAAGTATAGAATAGAGTGTAATATTAGAAGTGAAATCTTGGAACTGGGAGAATGTTCGAATGAATGTTGAATTAGAAAAAAAATATAGGACAGTGCCAGTGTATGTTAAGTGAGTTAAGTAAGCATTTGTAAAAATAAAGCTTTGAGAAGATAGTTCTGAGCGAATTGTTTGGATATGAGAAATATAATCGCAGAGCGATAGGGGTTATATATATAAGTATATAAGTAGAATAAAAGTAAACACCAGGATAGAAATTTCTTCTAGTGAATGATTAAAGTGAAAGATAAATGTGGAGTTTGGTTACACATTTACAGTAATGTAAGAAAGAAAATGGTAGGTTACATTTTTCTTTTAGATCATGATTTTATTCCACTAATTATGCATGTTCTGGGGTGAAAAGACGATTCCCTGGTTTCTGTCTTAGGCAGTAGATGCTGACATCCATTGATGGAGATAAAGGACAATAAAAAGTGTGTGTGTGTGTGTGTGTGTGTGTGTGTGTGTGTGTGTGTAAATATTTAACATACCTCTTTGGAAGCATGAGCTTGTTTATGTCATAGCTTTGAACATATGAAAAAATATCTCATGTTAGAGGAAACTTCAGTTTGATTAGTCAGATGCAATGACCTCCCACTGTGATGCCAGCTTTCCTTATCAAGAGCAAAGTGAAAGGGCTAAGCCTGCTATTCCTTTTTTTTATGTTTTTATAGGATATAATGAAAGATGAATGTTCCGTGCTGAAGCTGCAGCTGAAAGAGAGGGATGAACTCATTTGCCAACTTCAGGAAGAGCTGGTGAGTGACCACAGTATTTGGACTGCAAAAGTACTCTTGTTGCATGGTTATTTGCTGTAAATCTTAAAAGACTTTTTAGCATTAATGCAATTAGCTATTCATATTTAAAAATAAATTTAATGTGATGAATGATCAGTTTTATAATTCTATAGAAATAAAACTTTGAGGAAAATGTTCGGATAGTAAATAAAACTCTACAGATTGTTGACCCGCTAAAGAGTAGAATGTCTGAGATTATGTATGGAACCTTATGTGACGGTTCATCAGGTCACCAAACCAGAGTTAGAGAGTTCAGTTGTATTTGTAGCCCTATCACAATCCATTTAGATTAAGGGCCACATTTTCATTTGTAAAGAACGTCATTTAGCCTCACACTGTTGCATTGAGATATAATATAAAGTCAAGAACAAAGACTTACTTATCTTGTAAACAAAACCAGATTTTCATTTGATAAAGCAAATTAGGGTAATCCAATGTGGTACCATAGTGGGAGCTTACAGAAAGCCACTTGTGGAGGTGCTCAGGGCTAACGCTAGACCCTCTGCTTCAGGGAGGTCCCTGCTGTGCTCTGGGGATCGTTTGTGGCTCCTGGTCTCAGACCAGGCTCACGCCAAGTGTTTGCGTGTTAGATGAGGACTCCAGCCCCTGACCTTTCTCTGTGGCCCACACTGAGGCTTCTGTTGGTGCAGGTGTTATCACAGAGTCCCCAAAGTGTAAAATCATACAGAAATACCAAGTGAGTATGCTTTTCCAATGTCCTGAATGGGACATCAAAGGAAATCTAAATTATAGTGATTAGGGAACATGAGCAGCAGGGAACATTCTTTTTCTAAATAATTCATTTTCAATTTTGCGTAGGTATATAAAAATGGAATAAAACAGATTGACACTAGCAAAATGATGATTCAATAAAAACACACTCATTATCTTATATACAACATTTAAATAGTACTTTTAGCTCACAGTGCTTTTTTCTTAGTAGACAATACTCCTTATTATTTAAATTCTGAGCACAGAGCCAGGAATGCCTGAGAGAGTCACCGAGTTCTGGCCCCCAAAGCCAAAATGTAAAATAAACTAAAATGGAAATAAATTCAGTTGTTGCACATAACTTTTTCTAATGACTTACCTAAGGGAGTGATATGTTCTTCCTTAATTCTAGCAGGTACTTTGTAATAGTACTTAACCTATTCAAGTGTTCCTTCAGATCTTAGATTTTTTTTTCATCCTAAGACCCCTTTAATATTCTTATTTGATCTATAAAGCAACCCTTTATATTTTTCTGTTGGTACTGAACCATTTGGTCTTTAGCTGAGAATTCTCCTGCTAACATTCTAAGCCATTATTTGATTTTCAACGTGATACTTTGGCAGTCTAAAAACTATTCAAATTCATTTTGTTTTAATCTAGCAAATATTGCCCGTGTGTTGGCTCTGTATATTAACTGTCCCTGATATGGTTTCTCCTTTGCCACTAGTGTCCTGCAGTGTTTTTCTGCACTTGGAGTGTCCTTTCCTGATGTTTTGCTTCTCTTCCTTCTAGAGCTCATGGGTATCTTAAATATGCTACTCTGGCCAGAGGCATAGTACAGTGTGGAAGGCACTTGCCTTGCACGAGGCAAACTCAAGTTCAATCCCTGACATCCCATAGGGCCCCCTGACCCTGCCAGGAGTGACCACAGAGTACAGACCCAGCAGTAAGCCCTAAGCAACATTGTGTCTGACCCCAAAACAGCAACAGCAAAATGTTTATCTATATTTATTGATTTCTTTTCTTTGTGCATCTCTGTCTCCGTGCTCAGTACTTGGGTATAAGATTTGGACAGTTTAACTGACAGGTGGCCAAAACTCTGGTGCATCTTTTGTGGGCTGGTTAATGGCAAACTTGCCAGACACGAGTGACTTGCATTTCCCTCTCCACATTCTGCTGTGCACATGAAATCAAATGCAAAGCATGGCTTTGATCAACACCAGGTTTGATCGCCTTTACATTGTACTGAATGTTGAATATTAAGTAAGAAATAGAAATAAGAAATAGAAAAGGAGGCATTTCTTCCTTTTCCTTTGGGCCTGAGAGTGTCAGTATAGCAGTGTAGATAGATCCACAGATGGATGTCTGATAGGATTGCTAATGGGTGTTTTTCTTTCTTTGGTGCTACCATTGCTTCAGAAGTCAAACATTATGTTAATATTTAAATATTTTAAAGTAAAATATTTATTAATCATTTGATAAATTATGCCTATATAACCACACACAGGTTACGTATGTATTTAAGTACGGATTCTATATTATAATATCTATCAACTACAGTAGCATATTATAGTACATGAAAAGATATGGTAACATGAAATAAAGTATATGTGCTTAGAAAGTCTTGAATGACTGGTCAATTGAGTTAGTCAAGGGTAAGGCACCTACCCAGGTTGGATCCCAGTACTACATAGCAGGAGAGATTCTTGAGCAGAGCTGGGTGGCATCCAAAACAAAACAAAACAAAACAGGGAAACATAGTCTAGTACAATTAATAATTTTTAGGTAACATGAGAGTAAATATTCATTTCTAGTTTTGATTTGGTGGTAGTTCTGTTTTGATAATAAGTATATTCCTTTAAGTCAGAAAAAAAAAATCAGACATCTGGAAAATTAAGAATGCAGACTCTAAGTGGTTTTCATCCTGGGAACTGCATGTGTTGGTGATGTCTTATCCTGTCCAGATGGCTGTAGTTACACACCGCAGACAACTGTCAGCTGTAGGCGTATAGAGTAGAGGCAGAAAGTTGAAGATGAAGACGTCGGCAGGTTCAGGACCTGGTGCGGGCCTTCTTCCTGACTTGCAAAAGGTCATTCCTTCATGTCTTCACAGGGTTGGTTTCATAGGATATTTTTGTGCCTGGAACTGGGTCAGAGGACAGGGTGGAATGCGGGTCAGAGCAAGAATGGAGTAGCACCAGCTCTGGTTACCCTTGGTCTCTCTTATCACAGAGCCCTCACTCTCCTAAAGTAATCTGAACCTAGTGTTGTGCCAAAGACCTCAGAGGCAGTGATCTTCACACTGTGGATTTGTGCTATCCCAGGAATCGGGGGAATCTGGACGTTTAGTCCAGAGCACAGAAAGAGGAGTGACTAGGAGGTCTTCAGGAAGTCCTGCCTTCCGTGACCATGTATGAATAGCAGTTACGTTATTACTGGTTTTCTCTGTCGTGATTCTCTGAGTCTAGTTGATGAAGAGTTTCATCGTAGAATACCATTAAGATTCTAAGGTTACGAGTCTTATCTTAGGATCTCTTAATCAAACGAACCCCAAACCTGCACAGGATAATAGAGAGTTGAAAAGGTCTGTGGATCATGAGCCCTTCGAAAGCTGGTGAGAGGCTCTGACAGGCATTTCGCTGGTCATCACCAGGTTGAAAAAGAGGATCTTCATACATCGCAGGCATTGCAAAGAGTCACCTTTCAGAATTAGGAATTCTAGGACAATTTTTTGATCAGTGATATTGGGTCATCTCTTTATAAAACCTTTTTTGCATTTACTTTGTAGAGTAAATTCATCTTTTTTTTTTTGAATATTGAACAGTCAGCTCTACCACCAGGTTCAAATTTGGAGATTTTATGAACTTAGTTTCTAGAACATAAATGGAAATTTAGACCAAATGTCTAAACACAGTGGCTAAAATGAAGTCTGTTTAATCAAGAGAAATTATAAATAAAAATTATGGGTACTTAAAAACTTTAACCATAGGCTTAACTTTATTCAATTTAATGTTATAAAATACAGAACTACTTTTCCACTTATGAGAAAATTTTGTATCATTTCTTGATATTTAGTGAAGGTCACATAGAAGAATATAGCATTTTTATTGCTTGTATGAAACTGAGGGACATTGTAAATATTAACCTTCTTATGTCTGATATAAATCCCAGAGGTCTGTCATTGGTGGTAAAGGGATAGCCTTGTGTTTGGGGCAGGCAGATATTTCCTTGTAATGATTATTAATCTTATACATGGTTTCAGAAACCTTTTAAATTGTTTCACACCACTAGTACAAAAACGAATGCCCAATTTGATACCAGAAATTGAAAGATAATATTTGAAATATGTTAACAGTTTGATTCAAAGCATTTTTATTAAGTGAATCTAACTTACAAATGAAAAATAAAAAGATTTTAATTAGTTGTGTGACAACAAAACTGAAATTTAATTGCCCTAATTAGAATTGGTACATGGTGTGAATATAAAATTTTATCAGTAACTCTGACATCTATTAATTATACTATGAAAAAACTAATTTCATATGGATAGTCACATTAGAAAAATGTATTGTCAATAATTTATGAATCGATACTTTTTTTTTACTTCTACCATAGCACACTATTCACCTTGAATGTTTTGTGAACTTTATAGTTGATTTGAGTTAGAAGCAACGGATACATTTTTGTTGTATATATTACAGTGTGTTTAGATAGAAATACAGTTTAATAAATAAATAAAAATACATATAATAAATTATAACTAAAGGCCCCTAAATGTACTTAAATAAATATAGCATAATATATATAAATAAAATATATTTTATACTGTTCTTATATGGCAAGTATTTTATACCCAAACACACACACACACACACACACACACACACACATACCTCTTTAAAGAGCTTTCAAGTTTGGCCACTCAAAAACAAGTATTCAGGGTAGAAAAGTTCATTAGCTCTAAGAGTAAACAGTTCAGTAAAATAAGTAAGGTTAAAAAAGTTACTTTTCATGTTTTCTTTGGTAAACTTGAGTTTCCCACTTGACATTCATATTTTCTACAGGCCAGTGGAAACTCTCTTTAACATCACCAGAAATCTGATACTTGATCTGTGAAAGCTTTAGAACAATAACACCTCCCAACCTCATTTATCTATTGTTACCAAAGGTCAATAATCGTAGAAATATCAGTGCTGGTTCCTCCCTGGGCGAAAAAAAGGGGGATTTGGGTGCCAGACCAGTAGAATAGT